TCTCTTCTCTTCTCGTACCTGGGCGAAGAACCCACACGGGAAGCTCCACAGACTGTTTGTGGAGTAAACTTCATAACGCACCCACAGGAGCCCAAAGAGGTTAGCCACCACCGCCCTAGAGTCAGACATGACTGGACAGGTGAAACCTTTACCTTGATATATAGAATATATTGAAGAATTGGCTGGTAGAGCAGGCATTCTTGCTTCAGGAGGGCCATGTTTGGGTGGGTGGGTGTTTTAGGGCTAGGGGTCTCCAACCTTGGCAACTTTAAGACTTGTGGACTTCAATTCCCAGAGTTCTTCAGCCAGCAAAGTCCACAAGTCTTAAAAGTGGCCAAGGTTGGCTGAGGAATTCTGGGAGTTGCAGTCCACAAGTCTTAAAGTGTCCCAGGTTGGAGACCCCTGCATTTAGACCAGGGGTGTCCAACCTTGGCAACTTTAAGACTTGTGGACTTCAACTCCCAGAGTTCCTCAGCCAGCAAAGCTGGCTGAGGAACTTTGGGAGTTGAAGTCCACAAGTCTTAAAGTTGCCAAGGTTGGACACCCCTATTTAAGAGGATTTTTCAGCAGGAATCCTTACATAAGATCTGGTCTTCTTTGTTGACATCTCCCAAATTTCTGGATTGTTTAGAAATGCTCCATTTCCTGTACAAGAAGCATTTGCTAAATCCTCTATTTCTGGTTTAAAAGTGTGTTTTGATGTGTTTTGTCAATGGCTTTTTGAAGCCTGCCTCGTTCAGCTGGGCACTCAAAAGGAATAAAACAGCTCCTATTGTGGGAACTTTGAAATGAATACTTCTTTTGAGTTTTCCTGCAATCATCTCGTTATCCTCTTGCTTCGTTTCCTTGCCCCGTCTTGTCTCATTTACTACTCTATTTTTTTTAAAAAAACTGAGATCTCTTTCTCAGCTAGGCATGGAGGATGGTCCATACAGAGCCCTCCAAAAGAAAAGGAGAAAAGGCAGTGCTCCAAAACTGATGGGGGAGTTTGTGGGTGTGAAGAGAGAGAGAGAGAGAGATGGTCTTGCCTTAGCTAAATATTCAACATGCATTAAAAAAGAGATCTGAAGGGGATTTTTTCTGCCTGGTTTCTTCTGTATTGGTCATTTTTGAAACGAAGACCAAAACAGTTGGAAAGTGGTAGAAGCTAGTTTAATAAAAAAGGACTAGGAGTGAGATGATAGCAGTGTTCCAACATCTCAGGGGCTGCCCCAAAGAAGAGGCAGTCAAGCTATTCCCCAAAAGCACCTGAAGGCAGGACAAGAAGCAATGGGGGGAAGTTAATCCAGGAGAGAAGCAACCTGGAACTGAGGAGGAATTTCCTGACTGAGAGAAAAATTAATTAGTGGAACTACTTGCCTTCAGAAGTTGTGAATGCTCCAACACTGGAGGTTTTTAAGTCGATGTTGGATAACCATTCTATTCCTTATTCCATTCCATTCTATTCTATTTATTCCTATTCTATACATTCCTATTTTATTCTATTCTATTCTGTTTTCTCTATTCTCTATTCTCCATTCTATTCTATTCCTATATTATCCTAACTTCTATTCTATTCTCTGTTCTGTTCTCTATTCTATTCTCAATCCTATTCCTATTTTCTATTTTCTATTCTATATTCTATATTTCTATTCTATTCTATTCTATTCTATTCTATTCTATTCTATTCTAATTGTACCCCATGACTATTATTAAGTGTTGTACCTGAGGATTCTCGACTTTTGATGAATGTGTCTTTTCTTTTATGTACCCTGAGAGCATTTGCACCAAAGACAAACTCCTTGGGTGTCCAATCCCACTTGGCCAATGAAAAGAATTCTGTTCTATTCTGGGAACTTTTGGAAGGGAAAATCTTCGGGTTTTTCGAGTTCTCCTCTCGTTCTGCACCTCTAGTATCCAGAAGGCAAAACATCTTCCTCCGAATGATTTCCTCCCTTCCCCAAATTTATTTTTTATTTTGCTGGCATGCAACCTGGGTGGGGGTGGGGGGGGGGGAGATTTAGCATTTTTTTTTCTGTGCAAGACTTTGAGTGGGAAGATCTCATGGAAAAGGGAACTGTAATTTTAGATGTTTGGGTCCTTGTTCCAAGCGGAGAGAAGGAGTGAAAAAGATGTAGTTATGTGACAAATTTAAGAAGTGGCGTGTAACTCAGAAACCACCCAGAATGCAAATCTTTCGTCTGGGGAGACCAGGCTTAGCCCTCCACCCCAACCGAGTTCATTCACAGCCCCTCCGGTCGGTGGGTCTGATGCAGGCCTTGTCCTTCCCTTCTGCTTCCTGCCTCTTGCTTAAAACCATGGAAAATCAATCAAGCTTCTCAGCTGCATCTCTGCAAAGGAAGCAAAATGTGGAGAAACTTTTTCAGGCAGTCTGGCTCATGCAATGCAGGGGTCGCCAACCTTTTGGACCTCAGGGACCACCAAACTCATCATTTTAAGTCCTGCAGACCAGAGACCCTGGGAAAAAATCCCCCAAAAAGTCTGCAGGGAAAATTCCCCTTTGAATTTTCTTCATGATCAATTGTTCTTTATTTGGGCCGTCTCCAGCTCTGTTCTCAGGGAGAGAGAGACTTTTGGCTCCATGTTCTCAGGGAGAGAGAGACTTTTGGCTCCATGCAAGGAAAGCAGCAGGAGCTGCAGAAGTCTTTCTTTCTCTCCCCCAAACTCAGCCAGACATGAGTCTTTGTGAGACTTGTCACAGCCTCTTGGAGCAGGAGGCCTTGCAGAGTCCCAAAGACTCATGTCTGGCGGAGTTTGGGAGAGACAAAGAAAGACTTCTGCTGCTTTCCTTGTGTGCAGCCAAAAGCAGAAGAAGGAAGAAGCAGAAAGAAGCAGCCTGGTGGCCAGGCCAGGCGCGTGGGGCAAGTTCCCCCCCTCCGCCCTTTCCCCTCTCCCTTCACTACCTCATGTTGTTCGCAATGCAAGCGATGCAAGCCTTGTGTTCCCACGGGCCATGTGGGCAGCGCAGCCTTGTATTCCTGCACAGCCTGGATTAATTGCTTTGGCGGGGACATTTCTCTGTGAACCACCCAAATCTTCTCATGGACCACCAATGGTTCCCGGCCCACTGGTTGGTGACAACTGGTGCAATGAGGTCTCAAAGGAAGGACAGCCACTGGGGTCGGTCAAAAAAAAGTCAAAATGGCAACTTCTTTGCCATCTTGGCTTCTTTTGAGCTTTCCCTGGAGACATTTCGCTCACAAGCTAGGATCTGAGCAAGCTGAGTTTCTGGGGTTTGAGGACAGCTATTTCCAATGAGGGAATAAACAAGTGTTTAGTACTAAAATGCACATATTCATCAACCTAATGTGATTTATTGTAAAAAAAAAAAGATATAAAAGATACAGAATTGCAAAAAAAAAAGAAGAAAGCTTTTATTTGAAGAAATTGGCACCTCGATGCACAAAGCGTTTAGGGCAAACTTTTGCAAGAACTCAACTTGTTTACTATGAAAAGAAACGAGTATAAAATTAGAAATTGAGAGAAGCTTAAATCGCTCCGTTTGCAAATGTTGCTTATCGTTCTTGCTTATTTATATGACTCAAAATAATTTGCTATCCATCTTTTTCTACAATCTGTATCAGAATAGAATAGGAATAGAATAGAATAAGTTGGAAGGCACCTTGGAGGTGTTCTAGTCCAACTCCTCAAGCAGGAGATTGCACACCATTTTCAGACGAATGGCTGTCTAGTTTCCTCTTAAAGACCTCCGGTGATGCAGCACCCATAATGTCTGGTGGCCAGCTGTTCCACTGGTCAATTGTTCTCACTGTTAGGAAGTTTCTCCTTAATTCCAGGTTGCTTCTCTCCTTGATTAGGCCTGATGATGTTGCACACATCCCAATGTCTTTGAGTCAGTTTTGCAGATTACACAACTCTCTTCATATGCCCCTCCTGGCCTCTTTCTCTGGACGCTTCTGGACAGGAAAGAAAAAAGAGTGAATTATTGCTCTCCTCAGCAAACCCCCTTCCTGGGTGTGGATGCGGCAGAATGAGCTGCCTTCTCCCCTTGCAAATCTAAGAGGGGGTTTATTCCCAATATGGTTTGGGTTTTGAGTTAACTCTACAGAGCAGGAGAGCAAACTGTGGTTTAATCCTACAACTATTTTTTTTTTTTTGCATCTGATGAACTTCAGAGTTTAATTTCCCTGCAGAGATCTTTCAATTCCAGTTTGGATAAGCAGTGCTTTATAGGCCAAGTATATTCAATGGGTGAGTCAGAAAACAGAAATCTGGCTACGTTAACTCATGTTATTAGGTTAAAAGAAGAAAAAGAATTGAGAATGGTGACCTATTAGGATTATTGGAAGGTGAAACAATCTATCGTGTTTTTTTTTACATATCATAGTGAATTATCTTGAGTTTTATGCTGACTAATCAAGTTTATAAAGAAATGCTTTTGAACAAGAAAAGGCTTGTTGGATTCTTCTATAATTGACAGGGTTGGTTCTGTGGCATCAAATGAAGTTTGAAATAACCTTTTCAGGTGGCATTTCAAAACCTCTAAAGATGGGCGGTGTGAACGCAGTGTGAGAGAGATCTGGAGATTTCCAAAAAGAGACCAGACAATCATTTGTCTGGAATGGAATAGTCTCTTGCCTTGGGCAGGGGGCTAGACTAGAAGACCTCCGAGATCCCTTCCAGCCTTAGAATTCTATGAAAAGCAGCTCAACAAGGAGACTCAGATGGGGTGTCAGTATGAAAAGTAATTTCATACCACGTTTTCCGTAGTCAGAATTCACCCTGGACTTCTTACATTGTCCCAGGGTAGATGCGGTTAGCTTGTGTATCCTTCCCATCTGGCTTCCAACAAGCAAGGTCTATGGGGAAAGACAAATTCATTTAAAAACAATGATTCACTTAACAACCATGACCCCCCCAAAAAAAAAGAAAGATGAGAAAATTGGGTCTCACTCACATAACCACTGCCAAACAACCGACACTTTTAAAAAGACAACATAAAATAAGTCAGTATTCTCTCTCTCTGCTCTCTTTTCCAGATCAGGAAGTGTCCTACATCACTGGAGTGAAATCTATTACTTTGTGGAACATCTGGCTCACAAATTTATAAGGTAAGAAATTATGACCAGCTGACGGCATAAGATGTGGGTTGCAGGGGGTTGAGCCGTGTGCCCTGTTGGCACTCTGCATGTTTACTCCAAAGTCACAGCGGTCATGATACTCAAGTTTGTTGATTGTAGCCTTGGCGTCTCATCATGATGTAGGCTAGAATCAAGTAGATCTTCTTTTCAGTAGGAGCCTTAGAGGAATCCTTCACGTTTGGGGGGTCTTTGTAATCTCTTAGGATTTGAAATAGACACCTGACATCAGAACCGTTGTTTAAAAAAGGCACAACGAAGAATGTTCTTCCTGCGTCGATGCAGAAAGCGGAGGCTGCCCCAGGAGCTGCTGATGCAGTTTTTCAGATGGATGATTGAGTCTGTCATTTATGCTTCTATGACTGTCTGGTTTGGTACGGCAGGAGCGGGACAGGCTTCAACCGATAGTTAGGACTGCAGAAAAATCAGTGGCAACCAGCCTGCCTTCCATTCGAAGACCTGTAGGTTGCACAGGGCAAAAAGAGGGCCGAGAAAATAACTACAGGCCCCTCACAATCTGGACATAAACTGTTTCAAATCCTCCCCCTATGATGGTGTTATAGGGTGTATTGTATGTCAAAGCAACTAGGCACAGAGACAGTTTTATTTCTTCTTTATCATTCTGCTAAACACCTAATTCCCACAGTATTGTTTTATGCCTATCCATTTTGTGTGGCTGTAGAATTACTGCTATTATCCTTCTCATCTTCTCTACTATTTCCTCTTATTGGTATCATATTATGATTACTATTACTCTGATGCTTTGCATGTACATTGAGAGCTTCTGCACCAGAGACAAATGTCTTGTGTGTCTAATGACACTTGTCCAACAAAGAGCATTTTATTCTATTTCTATTCATTTTTTTCCTTGTCTTGACTCAAGTTTTCCCTCTTTGTTGTCCCTTTGATTCTCAGCGACAGTGTAGCTGAAGGAAATTTATTGAGCAATTTCAAAATAATTGAGAAAAACACCAAGTTTGTTTTGCCTTTTTGGTTGTTGTTGCTGCCTTGAACTGGATTTCCTCTTAACTGAAGAAAAGGAACACAAGTTTCAAAGAATTCCAAGCAGTTTGTTTTCGTGGGTACAAACTCCGGGAACTTATCGGAACCTGATTTATTGTTTTCAAGGAGGTCTGGCTTTTTTTAGAGGAAGAAAATTGCCACATTCTGAGTCTTAAGGTCTGATTTCTGGCCCTAGTAAGCATTTAAGTATACTTTAACTGAGTTGTCACGAAAGGATCTATGATAGGAAAGCTGTGATTTGGTGAGGGGTGGAAAAGTCTCCAAAATTGTTCAAAGTTTCAAACTGCTTTTCTAAATCTCCTTGATTTGTTCTTTTTTGGGGGTTGAAATGGAATAAAAAGCCCTTATTAAGTACTGTAAATAAATCCCTGGCTCTGCTGAGAGTGGAACATCCAAAAAATGATCCTGAGATTAATTTATATTTGTAGAAGAGGCGTGCCTTCGGAATGATGTAAGGAATGGATCTCTGTCGACCAGCAGGGCCAGAAATTATATACAATCTACAGAGACAGCCACGCACATGGAAAGAGATGAGGTTTCATTTCAATAGTCACGGCGGCCATCTTGACTTTTCTGACTTATCTGTAGAGGCACTTCACACATTCCGCTGGGAGGAGGAATATGGTCATGTTTCGCTGAGAGAGGAAGGAAGGAAGGAAGGAGAAAGAGAGGGAGGAAGGAAGAGAGGGAGAGAGAGAGAAGAAAGAGAGGAAAGAAGGAAGGAAAGAGAAAGGAGAGAGGAAGGGAGGGAGGGAGAGGAAGAGAGGGAGGGAGGAAGAAAGGAGAAAGATGAGAGAAAGGAAGGAAGGAAGGAGAAAGAGAAGGAGGAAGAAACAGAGGGAGGGAGGGAGGAGAAAAGAGAGGAAGGAAGGAGAAAAGACAGAGGAAGGGAGGGAAGGAGGGAGGAAGGAGAAAGGAGAGAGGAAGGAAGGAAGGAGAAAGATGAGAGGAAGGAAGGAAGGAAGGAGTCCCTCATTTTGCTGTCTTTCTTTTTGTAGCCCCCAGTTGAGAATGTCCTTCATTGTCTTCTCCAATCAAGGCTCAACCCTCATGGACCTGACCGAAGACAGGTGAGAAGGAGGGGGCAGGGGTGTGACCTGTCCTAGGACCCACCACCCTAGATGTTTCTCCACACACAAATGGGGATGTTCCCCACTGGGTAGCAAGCCTGGCCAGCCTATTAAACAGGCTGGGGGTCCTCATCTCTTCAGGACCACCTCTTTCAAGCCCCGCAAAATGATCCCCAGGACCTATTTGGAGTGTGTTGAGGAAGGATCTGCCTTTGTCAGCCAAATGTTGAAAGGAGGTTATGGGGCCAAGATGGCTGCTTTAAAAAAAAAACTCAGAAAGTTGTACAACTTCCTGTTTTACCCAGAGAGGAATTTTCGATTGATCAGTTACTGTGTTTGTATTCAGCCCAAACAGGACTTTGCTATTTTGAAGAACAGCGACCATTGCTAGCTTGTAGTAGAAGTTACATGGGAATCCAGGAGGAGCAGAGACTTTGAGACTGAGCTCTGCTCCCCTATCTTGGAAAAGAAGGGAAAAAATAGGTACAAAGCTAAACGTAAGATAGAAGAGGAAAGACAACAGAGGAAGGTGGGGGTGTCTATCAGCTCTGCAGCTCTGTTACCCAGTTCATGCCATGCACGAAAACAGTGTTGGTGAACCATGGCACCTTTAAGATATGTGGACTTCAACTCCCAGAATTCCCTAGCCAGCATGCTGGCTGGGGAATTCTGGGTGTTAAAATCCACATATCTTAAAGTTGCCATGGTTGAGATAAAGGCAAAGTTTTCCCCTGTCCAGTTGTGTCCGACTTTAGGACAGGGGTCCCTAAACTTGGCAACTTTAAGATTTGTGGACTTCAATTCCCAGAGTCGAAGTCCACAAGTCCTAAAGTTACCAAGTTTGGAGACGTCTGCTTTAGGGCATGGCGCTCATCTCCATTTCCTGGCCAAGAGAGCCAGGGTTGCCTGAAGACAATTTCCATGGTCGTGGCCAGCAAGACTATACACTGAGAATAGAACGCTGTTACCTTCCCACCAAAGTGATACCTATTTATCTATTCGCAGTTACAGGCTTCTCAACGGTTAGGTGGGCAGGAGCTAGGGCAAAGGGACAGGAACTCACCCCGTCGCATGGCGCTGGGTCTCAAACCCAGTCTCTCAGCTTTCCAACTGACAAGCTCAGCGTCTTTAACCGTTGAGCCATCGCACCTCTTGGATTGATCTAATACAATAGCGTAATTTGCAGCTGGATGATGAATTCTTGGAGTTGAAGTCCACAGGTCTTAAAGTTGGCACAGTTGAGCACCCCTAGTCTAGAATCTAAAACTTCGGAGTTTTGACCAGAGCTGAACATTGCTTGGCTTTTCAATGTATATATGTCCGGTTTCCAAGTGATGAAATCCATTTAAAAATAAAAGAGCAAAGTCCATCTTCCAAAACAATTTCTTTTATTTGAGAAAGCATCAAATTTAGGAAAGCGTCAACAAGTCGGTTGTACTTCCGGATCTGACACAACCCGGAATTACACCACATACTGTAATATGGAAAGTTAGAAACAGCCGCCCAAAGTCACATTCTCTAGTAGAAGTAATTCAACGTTGCTTGATGTCATAAATCTCCACCTCAAGGGGCCCAAGGAAGGACAGCTCGTTTTCCCACGGGAAGAAGAACCACCTAGCCTAAACAACTCTCTCTATCTCTACTCCTCCTACCTTAGGAACGTGGCAAGCCCGAAACCCTCCCCCGCCCCCCCATAACCAGCAAAGAGAAAGAAAGAAAAGGAATATATAACAAGGCTAAATAAAATGGCTCTACACATACGTCAATTTCTTGCTTGACCTATATAGGATTCAGTTCTTCCTGCTCGGCTGTTGTTTGTCTTTGGCTTCACCTGCTTGCAGATTCAGACTCTCCATGGGGAAGGGGCTCAAAAAAAGGTCAAGTTGAGGCCCCACCCCTTTGGGGGATTTAAAAAGGAGGTGGGGCTTCAATGGCCTGATCCTAACCGCCTTTATTTTTTTTGACCCAAGCAACGACCGTCCCCTCAGCCGAGTTGACATGGTTCTCTCCGTCTCTGGAAAAGACCCCAGATTGAGTTCTTACAGCCTGTTAAACCCGGGACAGTAACACACACTTGCAGTTCCCTCGAAAGGCGCTTGCTCCAACAAATCAGCCATAAATTATCCTCTTTAGCCTAGCCTGGCGTGTCATACTGACTTGTGTCTGGCCTGGGTGTGGCTTTGAAATTAATCCTGATAAAGTGCACTCCAGCTATTTCATTATGTAGCTTCCATCTGGTGTTGAATTTCTGCGGAAATGGATGGGTGGGTGGACAGACAGACAGACAGACAATAGATAGAGATGGATGGATGGATGGATGGATGGATGGATGGATGGATAGATAGATAGATAGATAGATAGATAGATAGATAGATAGATAGATAGATAGATAGATAGAT